GTACCGTGCTTCTGCGGTCTGAAGTACCATAGAAAGCTAATGATTCAGGTGAGGTATAAATGCTAGCCTTTGCAGATGCCCACCTTGAAGCTGATGTTTTACTTCCTGTGTGCACAGGCTACAGCTACAGACAGTTGGTGAAGAGCACCCTGCTCTGAAATTTATTTGCTATGTGTATAGGAGGTAGGTATGTGTGTGGTTTATTGTGATTCCAAGCATATCCCAAGCAACATAAAGATAACAAACAGAAATCGACTCTCATTTCACTTCTGGCCTTTGTTGTTTGGACAGTGTGTGTTTGACCATCTTTTAGTGACATAAACTGCTTGGAGATGCCTTTCGTTTAGATGTGTGTTTTAGCATCTCACGTGTAAGTTAATCTCATCTGGATCCATGAGCAAAGTCTTAGTTTTCTCTAGATGCAGACTTCTCACTTTGTTGTGTGCCTGTTAGGGTGCCTGTGCAGCCTACAAGTGGTGTCTGGGCCTACAGGTGGGTGTTTTTTAAAATATTTATTTATTATATATGCAATATTCTGTCTGTCTGTGTGCCTGTAGGCCAGAAGAGGGCACCAGACCTCATTACAGATGGTTGTGAGCCACCATGTGGTTGCTGGGAATTGAACTCAGGACCTTTGGAAGAGCAGGCAATGCTCTTAACCACTGAGCCATCTCTCCAGCCCCCTTCAGGTGGTTTTGACATACAAAACAGTTCTACAATGATCTGGAACGGAGTGTAACAAATGTTTATTTATTTGGGGATAAACTTACAAAGAGAGTAGCAATCCGCAGTGGTCTGCAGTGCATGCTGGGAACTGGAACTTAATCCAGCAGCCAAGAGGGCCTTGCAGGCTTTTCCTCTGCATTTATTGTGCATGGGACCACGCCCAAAGTGGGCCGGCATCTAAAGGCAGCAGGCTGTTTAGGAACAAGTAGGTTCCTTAAGGGTTTACAGCACCCGTGGCAGAAATTCTGTTCTAGTTTCTCATTCATAAATGTCTGCTTCTCAACCAAAAGATGTGTTGGGTGCTCCCTCTTCCGAGCAGAGAGCCAGCCCTGTCACAATGACGCCGAAGTTGTCTTCTTCGCACCAGCACCCCTCACTTCTAAGTCTCACTGTAGAGTCTGCTGCTGGCTTATGCTCACAGTGGTAAGGAAATAGAGCATTGTAGTCATGGCTTTAGGCCTTTCTTACCTCATACACCGAATTTTGTTATTAGGTCTATCATGATGCAGTTTGCAGTCTTCCATAACAATGGTTAAAATTTTGTGTATATATATGCTTCGTATGTGTGTATATGTAGGTGGGAATGGTGTGTGTGAGTGTGTGTGTATATGATGTACACACATTTATATATAGATGTGTACACACATTTATATAGAGATGTGTATATCTGTACAGAGGCTAGAAGAGGAAGTTGAATATCCTGTTGTATTACTTTCTACCATAGTCCCGAGACGAGGTCTCTCACTGGAATCAGCTCTGGCAGCCACCCGGCCCCAGAAATCCTCCTGCCGCCTCCCTCCTCCTCCCCTTCCCTAGAACACTGGGGTTTCATGGGGCATGTGCAACAATCATACCAGCTGTTTATGTGGGCTCTAGGGATTTGAACAGATGTCCTCATGCATGTACGGTAAGCTCTTACACATGGAGCCAACTCTGCAGCCACAACCAATTTGTGAGCTCTGATTTGTCTTTGTTTCTCGAGACAAGGTTTCTCTGTGTAGTCCTGGAACTCGCTCTGTAGACCAGGCTGGCCTGGAACTCAGAGATCCGCCTGCCTCTGCTTCCCGAGTGCTGGGATCAAAGGCGTGCGCCTCCACTGCCCGACTCAACAACTGATTTGTCTTTTATCCTCTCTCTATTTTGCGCACATCATTCCTTCTCTGTGTTGATGAGAGGTTAAAGCCAGTAAAACTAGGAAGGAGAGAGAAGAGCAGCTCTTGGGGGCAGGTGGGGAGTAAGAGAACATATCCCATGAAAGTGGAGGGGTGCCAGGGGAGGAAGGGGAACAGCAAGGTCCCCTTTGAGGGGGGAGATGCAGAAAGAGGAGGACAGATTCGAACGCAGAATCCACGAAATGCCAAATTTAAAGAACTGAAAGTGAGGGAGAGATCAGTGTGGAGCCCAGCAAGCAGATCACCTTAGCAAACCGGGTGGGATGTGGAGTGAACCACATTGGCGACAGTTTTTTTATGTGCCACATTAAAATGTAAACCATGAGAAGGAAGCTGGTGACGACTTTCATAATTTTATCTAGTCTATCAAATATTGACTCAGTATTGAAACTGTTCCATTCATTCTGAGCTAGCCAGGTTCAAGTCTAGGAACGCACAGCCTGTAATCATGACTGCCTCCTCTAGGCAGAAGGAAGTGTCTGCCCTTGGCTTACAATCTCCTGTCGTACCTGTGCTTTCTGTCTGAGCGCTCTGACTTCTGTGCACACCACACCGCTAAGAACGAGAATCTCTGTGTGCCTCACTGGGCAGGGCCATTCAAAGCAAACCATCAACAGAGGAACAGAGAGGCATTCTGCTGTAGGACTGGGTGGAAACACACCGTGGGGCACACGTGTCTGCAAGAGGCCAGGAGGAGGGAGGAATTTTTCTTCTCTGTTACTCTTTCTTAAGCAAGACCAGGCCACTTAGTGTCTGGGAATTCCATGGCCCTATGCATATTAATCTGTTGGCGGAGGCCACTTGCTCATCCCCAGCTGCCAAGACCTGAAATAATCATTCAGAAACTATATTGTTTGCAATACTGTTTGGCCAGTAGCTTAAGTGTATTTCTAGCTAGCTCTTATATCCTAAACTAATCCATCTCCATTAATCTGTGCATCACAATGAGGTCGTGACCTACTGGCCAAGTTTCAGCAGGCTCTGGTGGAGGCATCTGTCTCCTGCAGTGACTATATGACTTCTCACTGACTCTGCCTTCTTCCTCCCAGCATTCAGTTTAGTTTTCCCCACCTAGCTCTACTCTGCCCTTTCACAGGCCAAAGTAGCTTCTTTATTCATTAACCAATAAAAGCAACACATATATAGAAGAACTTCATACATCATTAATCTGTTCTTATTTATTGGAGAGATTAGGGGATTGAGGATGCTACAGTGGTGAGAACTGGGGTCCCCCTGCCAGTTCCTGTGATGAGTGGTGAGAACTGGGGTCCCCCTGCCTGTTAGTGTGATGAGTGAGAACTGGGGTCCCCCTGCCAGTTACATCATGCATTTTTTTCCTTTATGGCCCAAAGGATCTGGGCTTCCCAGCTTAGAGAACTCATAGTGTCTGCTTCGCCCCAGAGAGGAGAAATTCTTGCTCACAAGAGCACTACTATCTGCTCTGAGGTCCAACCCGGGAGGCCACCATGCCATCCTTTGTAAGGGTGGTGCGTGTGATGTCAGTGACACATGGGAATGGCTTTTGCCGTGAACACTTATTTTTTTTTCTAATGACTAAATGTATTTTGCATTTTAGTTGTATAAATGAGCACTTGTGAGTTGCCCAAATCTTTAAATAAATAGATCCCTTCCTTTCCTTACTCCCATTGAAGTCACATTATATCACAGTTGTCTGTGTCTGGATGAAGAGTCAATGCTGCTGTCTTCCTCAATCAGGCGTGGTTTTTTCTTTTTCTATTTTGGAGAGAGCTCACTGATTCAGCAAGACTGAGTTACATCTCCAGTTCTTTAATCAAGTTCTTTTGAAAAATAAAAATCCATTTCTTCTGAGGATGAGGAGGGGAGGTTGAAGACACAATGGAAGGCAGAAAATTAGAACCTCAAGGACCCATTTTTACTTGTGAGATTGGATAGAGATAGAAATGTTATGTGTGTATATATAGATGTAGATGATAAATAGATATAGATATATAGGCGATACAGATATGGACATAGATGATACAGATATATATGTGGTTGTTTCTGTAGGGTATTCAGGGTTCATCTAGCCCATTTCTTTTTCAATAGTAATCTTTTTTTTTTAGTAGAAAAAATTTTAAGTATTGTACTCTGAAGATTAAGCATAAAATAAATTAGTTTTGTAAGTAGATGGTTCTTTTTAAATAAGCAAGAAGACGTCATGAGGTCAACCTCACATTATTCTGTATGAATACACTGGCTTATTGATTTCTGTCTTGTCGTTTAGGTGCCAAGTGCTTGCATGTAATAATAATGTTTTTGACTATTTGGAAACATGTGTGTTGAAGTCTATGTCCGCTTGCTACCTGTCTTGACACCTTTCCTGGCCTGAGTATGAAGAATGACCTTTATTCATGCCAAATATGTCTCAGTAGAAACTACATCAAGTTAGAACAACCCGGAGTTTCTCATTTCATAGCCACAAAGAAGAATGCAATCATTTTAGGAAATGGATGGGACTAGAAATCATTGAAATTAGCCAGACTCAGGCAAATCCCACGTGTTTTGTTTTATGAAGAACATAGAGTTAAAACTATAAGACATGCTGGGTATTGTGGCACACACCTTTAATCTCAGCATTTGGGAGGCAGAGGCAGGTGTGTTTCTCCAAGTTAGAGGCCAGCCTGGTCTACACAGTGAGTTCCAAGAAAGCCGGAACTACAGAGACAGACCTCTCTCTCTCTCTCTCTCTCTCTCTGTATATTGTGTATAAGATAAAGCAGGAGAGGGGACACACACGAATAACAAAGCAGGAGATAAATATATACACACATGATGGAGTATATCTGTATCATCTATATGGATACGTATGGACATAGAGTAGAAGAGGAACCCATAAGCATCAAGGGCAGCCAGGAGAAGGTACTGATCAAAGTATATTATGTGCATGCTGACTGCATCACACCCAAGCCCATTACTTTGTTAAATTGCTTTCTCCACTGCCTCTCTAAGTGTGGATGAGAGGTACCGTCTGCACAGATGTCCCCATAGTCACTTTAGGTCACTTTGGCCATTTCTGTACTTCTTCCCCCTTTGTATGGTGGCTTCTAACAGGTGACTGTACTTATTCCCTTACAATAACAGGGCGACCCAGAAAAAGACCGTGACAACAAGAAAATCAGATTGCAGAAGGATGTCCCATCACACTGTGCTTTGTCTTCGTCTTCCCACACCGAGTCTTCCAAGACGAAGTGAGTAAGGCAGGTGGGATCAACCCGGGGTAGCTCATCGGCCTTGGGGTTGACAGGACAGAACCTGCGCTGGCACTGGTGACTTGTGAGCCAATGGTGTGTTCATTCGCGTAGGTCTCGTCCACAGACACCTCGTGAGAACTGGCACTCCTATCAGCAAACCTAGATGTAGCGAAAACATTTCCACTAAGGAGCATTTTCGAGGATTCCTCTTTATAGTGGTGTTGGGGATGAGCTCAGTGCCTCCCAGCTGTCTCTTGCTGGATTTCTCCTTTGCCAGTGGAGGAGCACTTATAGTGGGCAATGAGGTCCTAGACTGATTTAATCCCTACTACTGTGTAGGCATAGTACTATTGCCATTTTCTTTAGCAGGATGGAAAACGGGGAAAATTTGCTCAAAGCCCTGGGTTCCTACTGGGTGTTGCTTGGGCTTGGGGTAGCTCAGATTCAGTGCCTGCCTTAAAGACAAGAGCTACGCGGCCTTCATGCGTGGGTGTGAGAGGTGGCAGGTGTCGGTGTAGTGTCAAAGCGGTGTGACCATAAGCAGTAACTACTTTCTCTCTTGGGCTTATTCAAGAAATTGCCTCATGAGACTTGGCAAATGCAAGGGAATTTTGGGGGGTAGGGGTGGGCAGGGGGAACATGCTACCAGACACAGGAGCATGACAGAGGTATCATCAGCAGCCCAGCCTGCCTGTTTGTCAGCGTAAAGTGCAGATAGGTGAGAGACGGGGTGGTCAGATACTTCCAGCCTAGTGAAAACTTCAGGTTGTCAGACCTCACAGTCCCTAAAACCTGACCCTTCCGCAGCGTGTTCACACGCTCCTTTATAATCAAAGGACGGAATGTGATGTGTACTCTGCTTTGACTGCCCTTGCTCCCCAGGGCTCCCAGGCCCTCCTCGGAGTCCTCAAGAAAAGAAATGCTTCCTCCTCCACCTGTGTCCTCCTCTTCCTCCTCCTCCCTGTCGTCGTCTTCCTCCTCCCAGAAGTCAACCAAAACTGCACACAAGAGGTCAAAGCCGGACGCAGACGCCTGTGGTCAGGACCCTCCCAAAAGTGCCAGCAGTACCAAGGGCAACAAGGACTCCTCCATTCCCAAGCACAGAAAAGTGCAGGCCAGGGGCTCGGAGTACAAAGTAAGCAGCGGCGGTGGGCGAGGCAGAACAAGGGTGGCCAGGACATTGGCCGGTTTAGTTTGACAACCTCAAGCTTGGTTTGAAGAGCAGATGGGGGAGGGGCCCTTTATCAAAGCTAACAGGAGGAAAAGTCAGACTCACTTTCATAATACGTTTCTACCACAGGTTCAGATGCTTGGCTTGAGAAATGGGTTAGTTCAGGTCTTCTTGGATAGTTCAGTTATTGATCACAATGGGAAATAAGTCAGGAGACCTGGCTTCCAGTTAGCCTGGGGCGTGCTGAGGTGGGGAGATTGCTTTGCTAGGTGTTCCCTGCTCTTCCCCTGTAGCTCCAGTTAAATCCCTAGCTCAACCACGGTCTGAGTTACTGGGCACACTGTGGTTGCTGCTGGGGCAGTGATCCTCTCTGCTGAGGGGGTGATGTGCATGTGTTTTCAAGGGATCTTCTGGAGAACCCACAAACCCGTTCCCAGTGCCTTCTTTGCCAAATGGTAACTGTAAACCAGGGAAGCCGCAAGCAAAGCCCGACAGGTAAGTGCCCCCTCCCGTTTTCCTCTTACCCCCCCTTTGCTTACCACCCCCCTTTTCTCCTGCTTCACTCCCTTTATTTCCTCTCCCCACCCTCCCCCATTTCTCCTTTTTTTTCATCTTTTCTTCCCCCAGGTAGTCATTTTTGGTTTGTATGACTCACACCGCTTTCTCTTCTTTATTTTTGCAGACCACAAGCTGATTTTCATATGAAGGAGGCTAAAAAGTTGAAGTCCAAAGCAGAGGCAATGGTCAGTCTTGGTTTTTATGTCCTTGGTTATACTAGGGTCTCCTCCATTCTGCCATGTCACACCATGGCGTGTGTATGGGTGGGGGACCATGTGACAGTGGGCTCTGGGGTGGGGGCAGCAGGAGGGGTATGGCCACTGTTAGCCACAGTGTAATGTGAGCAGGATAATTGGGGTCTTGGTGACTGAGGCCCCAGGTTGTTTGGGCGGATTGTGTGCAGTCTGACTGTGTGCAGACTTACAAACTGAGAAGAAGCTGATCTATGGGATGTTGGTTTAATGCATAAATGCTTTTTTCCCCAATTCACTACATTCGTCCTTGAGATGCACAAAATGAATTATTATGAAATCAGCCTATCTCCACCCTAAACACTGTACAAAGTGAGGAAGCCTGTTCGCATCCCACAGTGATTTTCTGCACTGATCGAGGCGGTTGAAGGCCATGGGAAGGCAGTGCTGGATGCAGGCTATAAACATGTCCTTACCTATGCAGCTCTCCTAACCTGTCAGCCTCTGAACTGTAGACATCAAGTGTGTTGGGCTCACGTCTGTGCAGCAATTTGGTGGGGTCACATGTTCCCTGAGTTTTACATTTATCGGGGTGGGGGCCGTGCCACAGTCAGCAACAACTCTCAGAAGTCAGTTCTCTCTGTCCACCATGAGGACCCCAGGGGTCAGACCATGTTGTCAGGCTTGACAGCAAGCATTTTTGCCCACTGGGCCATGCCATTAGCCTCCTGGAAGGTTCTCTGCTGGACAGACTGCCTCAGGAGCACATGCACATCTTTTTGTGACCTGACTCCTTTGTCCCCTTTTGTCCACTGGGAGTTTGGCCTTTGCCTTTCTACCCCAGTTTGCAGGTTCCCTGATAAACTGGTCCTTGGTGCTGTGAGGGATCTATCTCAGCAGTCCCCTTCGGCCCTAGCACTGGCGCGACCCCGGGGGGTACCCGGGCTGCGTGACAACTGATCCTGTGCCAAGCAGCGTTGTGTTCTCTGCTGCCTCTTTCCCACGTTCCAAGATGCTGCAGGAGCCATTCGACACTTTCTGGTTGGGGGCGACTACTCCGCACCATAGGCAGATACCAAAAGCTTACTTGACCTTAGACGCCCTTAGCTTTTGACCCCCTCGGTATTCAGAAGAGCTTTGAAGTGTCTGAAGTGCAGGCACGTGCTTGTGTATGTGCACAGATATGCATGTGACACATATGTTTGTCGCTCTAGTAGTGGTAAGATGCAGGTTGCAGTAGCAGGGGAGAGCCATTTCCCTACCCCTGGCACACAGCGGCAACACATGGAAATCCAGAGCAGCCCGAGAGGGATCAGCCTCTGTTTCCCACGTGCATCGTTGCTGCTTTCTTCCCTTTGGAACACAGCAAAACCTACAAGCTGAGCCATGTTAGCCAGTGGCTCTCAGTGTGTGTTACATATGCCACGTGCAGGGAAATGGACTGCTTGCCATGTTACTGCTCAGCTGAACTGACTGCATGCCACTCAGCAAGATCAAATGACCGAATGTGTCTTCAGGATGGTGGCAGACCACCAGTATCCGGTTTGTTCATATTCACACATTTCCTTGAGGGGGTTTTGAGAGTTTGTCCTTGTTGGCCCAGGGCATGTCCTTGTACAAAAACACCAACATGCCAAAGGAGATTAATAGTCTGTCGGGCTCCAAGTCATCAAGTGATCAGTGAGATATTTTATACAAGATGATAAACCTCAACCTCCACAAGGAAACCCATGTCTGCTCTGGATGCTGGCTTGCCTGTTTCTTGGAGGTAGCCTGTGAGTGACTGGATTGCAGCCACTAATGGGGCTGTGCCCTTTGTGTTTGGTGATGTTCCAAGAGTCATATTGATATAGGATTACTTTCTTTTTCCTTGTGAATTTTTGCTAGAAGACTCTTTCTGTAGGTCAGATCTGACCAGTACGGCTATTCATCTGTTCTGTTTGTTCTTTCTCATGTCTCTCTAATCAGGAGTAAATAAAGAAGTTCTGAGCAGAATGTGTGGGTAAGAAACTGAGCGGGCACTCCCTGTGGTCTCACAGAGCCCATGTTCTTCCCCCACAGGCGGACAAGACTGGAAAGGCCTTCAAGTATTTGGAAGCCGTGCTGTCTTTCATTGAGTGTGGGATGGCCACGGAGTCAGAAGGCTCAGCAAAGGCGGCGTACGCGGTCTACTCAGAAGCTATAGAACTCATTAGGTATGCAGTGGGGTGTCGCGCATTCTCCAGACCTGCCTCTGTCCTTGCTGGATGTGAGCATAGCGCCTGCCTGTTGTGACCCAGGCTCTGTTTTCTTTTCCTGAATTAAAGTGTGTTGTAGACCAGAGAACACAGCATAACTGGGTGCAACAAGGCCATTTTGCCGAGTGCTCTGAAGAGAACGCCGAGTCTCGGGAGGGTACTTTTCCCAGCTTCGGTTTCCTTTCAGATGTCTCCCCCAGTCCATGCTCCCTGCATGTCACCCAGGGTTTAGTGAGGATGTGGTCAAGCTTGGTTGCGGGAGAGAGCAGGCTCAGGGCCAGGTCTTCTGAGTGGCTTGTGGTTGCTCTTAACTGCTGCGCTTCTGTGCTGCACACAACACATCTTCATATCCTCTGGAAACTGGAGAGGGAGCTAGAACGGCCAGCACAGCTGGGCTCCTGTACCCGACCTGTTTAATCTCAGTCACTTCTGTCTCTCCCCGCAGGTTCACAATGTCACTAAAATCCTTCTCAGATACCGTGGCGCCAGCACAAGAAAAGATATTTGCCGTTTTATGGTGTGTACATCTTTATTTGTTATATGCATAGATAGTTGCCATTTTATGGAGTGTAAAAAATTTGATTTGTTATATAAATAGCACTTCCCTTTGATTAAAATTTATCTAAAAATATTTTCTGAGACAAGGTCTCTACATTACTCTGACTGTCCTGGAACTCTTGAGTTTGAGACCAGCTTGGTCCACATAGAAATGCGCCTGCCTCTGCCTTGCCAGTGCTGGGATTAAAGGTGTGCATCAGCACACCTGGCTCTAAATTTATTTTCTTCAAGTGAACGCGACCATGGGCATCAGGAAATGGTGTCTGCGGTGCTCTTCTGCCCCCTGGGGGGCTGCTCTGGTCTCAGGACTCAAGCCATGTTTGTGCACTTGTTGCCAGCGTCACTCTTGGTGGCGATGTGCAGTGCAGTGATGTTCCCGAGGGGAGACCCCAGCGTTGGCGGAGTCTCTCAAGGTGGGAACTCTGGCTGTGAGGTAGCCGCGGTTCATGTAACCTCTGTTTCTGTTCACAGCTTGCGTTGCCAGTCCCTGGTGAACATGGCGATGTTTCGCTGTAAAAAGGACATAGTAATGAAGTATTCTCGCACGCTTAGTGACCACTTCAAGAGTTCTTCCAAAGTGGCCCAGGCACCTTCTCCATGCATGGCAAGGCATGTGTTAAGTATGGCTAAACAGTGCACAGCCATGTCATTCACCTCTTGCTTGTGTGACGTTTTATGTGCATGTGACTTCGGGTTCTTCAGAAATCATGTAATTGGCCTTTCTGTGCTCTGACTCCTTAAACCTAAACCATTAGCTACTTTGTCCATCTGAGGAACAGGTATGAGCTAAGTTTAGGCTGATGTGACAACATACGAGGTCCAGTGGTCCTCTCTTAACCTGCCGAGAGTACGTCCCAAGATTCCCAGTGGGTTGCCTAAAATTACAGCCAGTATGGGCCTTCTGAGGATTCCCCACGCTGCGTCTGTTTCAGTTCAGTCGATTAACAATAGCGGCTGAGCCTGTGTGCCTCTCTGGTTTTTATCTCAGCACCACACAAAGAACTTAGCAATAGTAATGAAAGTTTTGAGGCTGTGGCCTCTGTGTTGAATCAGGAAGAACCGTGATGTTTTCTTGTGTGGCTTGCTGCAGGGAGCAAGTCACAGGAAGTTCAGCCGTAGATCACAGGAAAGTAGACCTGAGGAGACTGTAGTGCTAAGCAGCGGTTTAGCAATTGAAGCTCACAGGACTGCCAGAGGCAGACCAACAATAAAAACTGGTGTCCTTTCCCTTGCTTTGCTCTATCTTCCTGACATTTCAATAAATAAGAGTTTTCTAGAATCATGTGTACTGGGCCATTTCCAGGACCTCTGCTGGTGGTGGTAAGAAGGAAATGGTCATGTCTAGCAAGACTCCCCCACTGCTGCCAGCACACACTCAGCACACACTCTGCACACACTCTGCACACACTCAGCACACACTCTGCACACACTCAGCACACACTCTGCACACACTCTGCACACACTCTGCACACACTCTGCACACACTCTGCACACACTCTGCACACACTCTGCACACACTCAGCACACACTCTGCACACACTCTGCACACACTCTGCACAGAAACTGCCCGCTGTGCTGTCAGGTGTTGACAAGCAGAATCCTCACTTTTTCGAGATGAAAGTTAATGTTGGAATGTCTGTCATGGTCCTGCCCAGTGCAGTTTGTTGCCTAAGACAGAACCTCACTCGATAGCCCAAGCTGGCCCCCAAACTTTCTGTCCCCCCACCGCCTAAGTGTATGCAGCACTGCACCCATGTTTGGTTTCTTGTCCTGTTTCTTCTGGGCCTGCTTTCAGAGAGCATTAAATATAATACAAACCCATTTGTAGCAATCAGAAAGGGAGGGACTTCAAGTGGCCTCTTCCAGAGTGTCCTGGGCTCGTTCGGGCAGCATATATATTAAAACTGGAACATTACAGAGAAGGTTAGCACGCCCCTGTGAAAGGATGGCACACATGTTGGGGAAATGTTCCATTAAAAAAAATCCTAATGGAGCCTAGACCAAGGGCATATGCTGTCAGTCACGTGATTTAGCTAGGGTGGCTTCATAACAGCCCTCACACTGCCAGGATGCAGCAGTGATGGCCGCCCTGGGCAGCTCTGATCACAGGCAGCTTCTGCCTGACCTGTCTTTTCATCTTTTGTCATGCTTATGTGATTGAGCTTCTCCGTCCTCTGACCCAACTGAAGCATGTAAACTTGTAGGCCAGGCCACCAGCCAGGAACAGGAGCGAGAGGACTTGGGGCTCCTGAACCCCAGCCACTGTGCCCAGCCTGCTGCTGCTCACTTTGATCTGTCACTGACCCAGGAGGAGTTTTGGGAGCCAGGCATGCACTTCACCTTCACGGTGCTGTGACCCAGGGAAAGAGAGAGAAAGGTATAGAAAGTGATTCAGGCGGTGGCTCTGTGTGGCTCCCCAGGTCTGAGAGTCAGGTCTGAGCAGGTTTATGCAGCTCCCATGTGTGAAGCCTCGATTTAGTGTCCAGCTCTGCAGAGGGATGAGGGAGGGAGTCACAGAAGGTGAAGACTAGTCTAGAAGAGCGTGGTGGGAACCCAGGCCAGTCTTCCAGATGTGCCTTTGATCTTGTAGGAATGACTTTAGCGGTGAGTACTGTTTGGGGGCACATAGCCTGAAATTTAGACTGCAGTCTAGAGACTTGTCTGAGATCTGCTCGTTCGTGCGATTAACCAAGTCTCTCTCTCCATCCTTGCAGGAGCACAGGCGTTCCGTCCCCCCTCTCCCCAATGCCTTCTCCTGCAAGCTCTGTAGGGTCCCAGTCAAGTGTTGGCAGCATGGGGAGCAGTGGGGTGACGGCCACCATCAGTACCCCAGTCACCATCCAGAACATGACCTCTGCCTATGTCAACTTCACATCCCACGTCCTGAAGGCCTTTGATCTTTGGGATCAGGCAGAGGCCCTAACAAAGAAGAACAAAGGTGAGGGGCTCTGTGGCAGCAGCCAGTGTGGCATGGAGGTGGGAGGTGTTTCAGCCCAGGTCTCACGAAGAAAGAGATGGGCAGTCTCTCTTCCTAGTCCCTCTGCTCTGCTTCATAACCCAAGTTCCAGATCTTCCTTGAGGTCTGTGGTGTGGGCTAGATTTCTGAGGCTGGATCTCTGCTAAGCCGAATTAGAATTGGCTTTAGCACTCTGCCTCCTCACATGTTGGCATCATTGTTTCTGCCTGAACTGAAATGCTAGCGAACGACAGAGCTGGAGCGGAGCTGTGCTCGGCTGTCCCTCGGCTCAGCACACTTGGGATGGAGCAGCACGGCCCCAGGGCCGAGTTTGTGTTTCCAGCATTCGTTAAGATGGCTAGCTACAATCGACAACATAGAGCATAGCAAATATTACGGAGCCCTACTTGGGAAGGATCGGGAACTCCATCCAGTTTTGAGTCAGGGAAAGTGAATGTACAAATGTCCAGTGGCCACCATTAGGTTGGCCTGCTGGTGGAAGAAGACGGCCGGCGCCGGAGTTCTTGATTTCCCCACAGCCTCTTTGCCTTCTTGGCAAACTGTCCCCTCCTCTCATGCACCTGTTGCTCACGCGCGTCAGTCGAACACACGCACCACTGTTCTAGGCGTGAGTTCCAGGTTTTACTTAGAAGGGAGGGCTGTCAAGAATCAGCCAGCACTCACGCACTCATGCTGGGCGAGCCACAGGATGCTGTGGGCATACGACCTCCAGACTGTTTGTTTTCATTGTAATTTCATCTGTACAAGTATTTACTCATGTTGGGTTTGGATTTGATTGCAGACTTCTTTGCTCAGCTCAGCACAAAGGTGCGTATCTTGGCCCTCAACAGCAGCCTGGTGGACCTGGTGCACTACACAAGACAAGGTCTGCAGCGGCTGAGACAAGCTCCCAAAACTCCCTAATACAGGCTGGGATTACTCGATGCCTTGGAATGTCTTTGCACAATTGGAAGCCTTGATCAGTGTAGACAGCTGTCCGGTCGGGATGGCACACTCAAGTGAAACACCATGAGATGGCCCGAATGCTTGCCCACTCAAGCTCACAAGAGCTGTGTGGCCGTCGGTTGGACACTGGAGCAGAGCAACGGTGGGAGATGACCTGCCTTTCCTAACGGGAGGACAGAGGTGCAGTGGAGCCTAGCAGGCACATGGATGGTCTAGCGACATTTCTGTTTGCAGAGGAAAGGACGAGAAGTAGTTTCTGGTCCACGGCAGATTCCTGTCATCTCAGTGGCCGCACAAGTTCACTTCCAGAAGGAATTTTTTTTTCCAAATAATAATTTTTGGTGAAGGGTTTTATGGATATATATTTTTTCTTTTCAAGTTTTAAAGAAAATATTGTTTAATAAATTCTGATGGCCACATGTAAAGTAGAAGTCATGAAGCTGCACTGTGCCTACTCCCTGCGGTGGACAGTGGCTCTGATGACAGAGATCATCATTTAGAGGATGGGAGGGGCCGCCCGCCCCCGCCCCTGCCCCGCCCAGTGCCTAGAGTCCTGCACTCTGTCTAGCTCTGGCTCCTCGGGTCCATCCTAGGGGAGTGGCAGCGTCTAGATCCAGGATCCATCTTACGGTCTTCCCCACATCCCAGGAAGCCCTGCACTCCCTCCCTCCCGCCACCACACTCCTGGAGAGCGACTGGCTAAGCAGCACCACTGATTGATTTTTACATTTCCCATGGTGCATGTGGGCAAAGGGAGCCAGTGTTGTTTGCCCTGGGCGGGAGGCGGGCGGACTTCCTCTTCTGTCTGCCAGAGTCCCAGGTGCTGACAGTGTCGTGGCAACTTGTGTCCTCGGTCAGCGAAAGTGAGGTCTTCCTACAGAGGCTGTATTTTTTCTGCTACAAATTATTTTATATTTATAGCAAAGCTCAACCTTCCAAAGCCTTTGATTATCCAGGGGATACTGCCTCCCCGAGAGGATATGGAGATTTGGGGGGTGGGAATCCACTACCACACACCCTCAGTCCAGACCGACTTCTCAGGTACGGTGATTGGATGATACTGAAGACTGTGATCTTCCCAGCCATTAACACACCCCCCCCCCCCGCCCCGGTTAAACCAAGTCCACTTTGAGAGTAGAGCACACACAGAATTCACACCTGCCCATACGCACAGGCCTTTCACTGAAAGTCAAAAGTGATTACTGGGATGCTCTTGAGCATAGTGTTTTTTAAAAGCCAATCCTCTATCCCTTTAGAAAGTAGAATTTGCACGTGTTATGGCTGTTTTTTCCCTCACCCCTCCCCGCCCCCGTTTCCACTTGCTACCAGCCATGCTGTGTTTGTATCTAGAGATTAATGGAGATGGAAGAGCCATCTTAGTGAGGGTGTCTGAGGTCCCTGGGGTGGGAGACACTTCTGGTACCTTGGTAAATCCACACAGGGGCTGCAGGTGAGTGTGGTGCCAGGTGTTGGTGCGACACTCCTGGGCCTCTCAGTCTTTTGGATGGAGCCAGAGAATGGCTACCCTGTGCATCTCCGAGCACAGGCTGAGACCGACGAAGCAGTTCTTTTTATTAATGTTTCCTGTAAAGTACTTGTCCCTGAGCATGTGGTCAGTCGTCCCCGGCACGGCGTCACCTCTCGAGCAGAATCTGGCTTGTGTAGTCTCGTCCGGTCTTTCCCTTCTCCCATGGCTGTCTGTATCTCTTGCTGTACCGTGGAAACAAGCTGCCCGTCAGTTGTGACCGGTTCTGGTCTAGACACAGTTTGCCAACGCGTGTGTGTGTGTCCTGCCAGTGGGCCACTGTGCCCCTTGAAAGAACAGGCCGCCTCGTCCTTTGTACTGGATGTGTTTTCTCAACTCTGTATACCCCAGTTTCATTTGTACCTTGAAAACTAATGAATTTGGACAGACCTGTTTGTACCAGTTTGGTCTGTAGATGAGAGAGAGAACACAGCGGCCGGTGGGTGCTGTCGCCCACTCACTGCAGAAACCTGAAGATGGTGTGAACAATCTGCACTTTTCACTATATGCTCACTATTCCCAAGGGCAACACTTTCCCAAGGCGATTCATCCGGAAGGACTCTAAAATTAACCCCTTGAATGTGTGGTGTTATAACCGTAGAAGAGTATATACTTCCTGCTGAGGGAGGCAGTGTGTTGGAGAGTGAAGGTCAGTCTTGCCCTTGCCTTCCTTACAAAGGGTGTGGGTGGCCTGTCTGTCTGCGATAAAAAGTAGACGGACCGACACTCTTTTTTTCCCCAAGTGTTGAATATTTTTCTTTTGGAAATAATTAAAACTTGATACATGTAGAAGTCCTTCTAGATCATAAAAAATCCTGTCGCTAGAACCGGTTGCTCTCCTTCATGGTGCCAAGAGGGCAGGCCCCGTGGGAGCAGGGAGGAACAGGAGGGCCCAGCGAGTACTTGTCAGTGGTCCCCTATGATTGCACGGGAAGTACTTGATTTATTTTGTGGATGTTTTGACCAAAGGGTTTGTGTATCCTCTGGACAGAAAGGACCCCACCTACCCTCTGTGTGCTCTCTAATTCTAGGTCTTAGGACGTTTAGAGTGGGCTCTCCCCCCATCTTAATTGAAAATGTGCCTTAACTGACACCTTACGTATTCATGTTCGGGGCAGGACCTCAGCCTTAGGATTCCTGCTTGTAAAGCGCTGTGTGCTGCACATCTAGGGTTCCCGATGCAAAGGATGAGATTCGTTCGTCTAGATGTATTTGTGCCTTTGACCAAACAGCTTCTGAAGTGATGCTCTTTGCTTTGCCACGGCTTCAAGGGCTGATGTTTACTTTCCTGCTTCGTCAAGTCTGAGGTCTATCTGTGTGCATCTTAAGGTAAATGAGTTGGGCTTTACAAAAATATCTAAACTCTTTCCATGCCCCCTGCAAATCCCTCCTCTTGGTGATCTGCCTTTCCCAACACTATAAATCCACCACGTCGTTGTTCATTCTTTACCGCTGCTTAGAGGTGTTTAAATCTCCCGAGACTATTGCGGGCTTCTTTTAGAGACAGAGAAGTGTAGGTTTTTCTCACTGAGAATGAGCCAACTGCTCTGCAGCTGTGGAGAGGGTAGGCTCAGTTTGGATGCCTCCTTCTCCTTGCCTCCTCCTGTTGGCTTTGGTCCATTTGGAAATAACGGACGTGAGGACTTTTCCTGTGCCTTAAGGGATGTTAAAGGGCAGAAGGGCACGATGTTGGGATTTTCCTTCAAAATCTGTAAGTGGTATTTCTGCCAGGTGGTCCTCCAGTGTGCGGTCCAGTCATGCTGGCTTCCCACTGAGAACAGTCACCTGTGGCCACACTCTCTCTGATGAGTGACAAGCACATTTCTTCAGGCGGCTGTGAGTTTCCTAGGGGTGAATCACACACTATATTCTGTTCCACTGTGCGTCAGACATTGCAGTCACTGTGATGACCAAAGTGCCTCTTTCCCTACCTAAGAGGGAGCCAGAGGATGGGAAGGAAGCCTAGAGCTCCCTGCGAGCCTGGGTATTGTTACATCTGTCCATAGGACGGACACTGGAATAAGATCACTGACACGCAGGCCACGCTGCATTGCTGGGCCGCACCGTGGTTGACCTGAGGAAGATGAACTCGCTTTGCCTAGGTGTTTTAGCAATACTCAATACGGGCAGTATTAAGTTTGCCTTTTGTTCAGGCCACGATGTGTATTGCTAATACTGCACACCCTCATGATCTTATGCTGCGGTGTGTGCATGTCTGTCCCGAATCTTGTTTTAATTTTTTCTGAATGTGATCATGTTTTGGATGATACCTGAGCAGGGTTGCCTTTTTTATTTATTACCATTATATATTATATTATATATTATATATTTTCTTTCTTATAATGTTAGAGGAAAGTAAAATCTTGGTATTATTAAAATTGCTTTAAAAAGGAATAGGTTGCCCAGGTGATACTGAAAATCACTGGTTTGTTTTTCTTTGATTACCATGGAATAATATGCAGCTGTCACCGACACGATAGCTGTGGGCAGGCTGGGGAGCATTAGTGCCCCCGGTGAAGATGGAGAGCAGCAGAGGGGAATACCACATTTTTATCAGCTTCAGCAATGAGACTGCAAACTTGGGGCTTTTGTGAATAAAATTAGCTGCCTTGTGGAATCCTTTGAAAGAGGCAGACATGATCTGTGAGAATTTTTTTTAAAAAAGAAAATCTGCAAAAGATCTTTCCAAAGATAATGTGCCACGGATCTTTCCAAAGATGGTGTGCCACAGATCTTTCCAAAGATGATGTGCCACGGGTCTTTCCAAAGATGATGTGCCACGGATCTTTTGTTCTCTCTGTAAGGAGGATTAAATGCTGTTTTAAATGTAATTGACTTGTTCATCTTCACAGTCTTTCCATGAGATCAAACTGTAGAAAAAATATTTAATAAAAATGTAGAGAAATCATTGGAGTTGAAGCTCGTTTTTATTTTGCTCAAATATGGTGGTGCTTGTTTGTCAGGCCAGGGTCTGTCTGGCGCCAAGGCCAAGCTCAGGCTCACAGGCCCTCCTGCTCTGCCTTCCCAGTGCTGCCACAAATGGCCACGCCAAGCAGCATGCGAAGCTGCCGGCTCCAGTCAGCGTTGTCTCTCACGCTCCCATGACTTCCGCTGCATCCACGGTATGTTCAGATTGTTGATGTGAGGAAAGGAGGAAAGAATGCCACGTCACATGCTAGATGCCTGCTTTCAGTTTGCTGTAGCAGACAAACTGTGGAGTCTTCAGCCAGCGCTGAAGGACTGGAGGCCGTCTGCCTCTAAGGAAACACCTCAACAAGGCTCGGGCTCCTAGCTCTGTGGCTTTGGACATGTGACTTAACCTCTCTGGTCTTGTCGTTCATGTGCTTTCTACTCCATCAGACTAAAAAGGCCATGAAGATTGGTTTAACCCCATTTTCAGTTTTCCTCCTCTTAGCCTTGATGACACAGACCCATGGAACAAGCCTGTGGTAAAGGTGAGTGGTGTTGGTGTGGGGAGGGAGGGAGCCTATGCTGTGGACACAGGTCTCAGCTGAAGCGGCCTTGAGAGATGAGCCATCCAAGACAGTCCTCTGTGTGATGTTTATTTCACAGAGACTTGTACGCTCTCACATGTCAGCAGTGGCTACACTCATTTCACCAGCCGTCTGTTAGACGCCGAGACTTTGTCGGGATGGCACAAAGCAATGACTCTCAACCTGTGGGTAGCGACCCTTTGCCAAACTTATATCTCTGAAAGTATTTGTACTATGATTCATAACAGTAGCAAAATTATAGTTATGAAGTAGCAATGAAAAGAACTTTATGGGGGGGGGAGGTGTCACAGCATCAGGAAGGCTGGGAACGGCTGGAATAAAGGAGATGTCGTGAAAAGCCCTAAACAAAGTGCAGTGATGTGTCCATCCCTGTGCGTACAGGAA